CCTATCACTCAGGAGACAGAGATCTGTCTCGATCTCTATAAGTTCAAGGTCACACTGGACTACATGAGAGAAAAAGAACCAGGCGATGGAGACATACACCTTTAATCCCAGGAAGTAATGTATCAGAACACAGAAAGGCATATAAAGTGTGAGGAAACAGGAACTCTCTCTTGAGGCTGAGGATTTCATAGAGGTAAGCTGTTCTGCTTCTCTGATCTTTCAGCTTTCACCCCAATATCTGGTTCCAGTTTTTTTTTATTATAAGACCCTTAAGATTCATGTTACAGATGATGGCAGAGCAAGGCAGTGATCTATGCATACAGCTTCTATATACATAGCAGAGTGTTATTAGGAATCATTTTATTGCTATGTTTCTTTAGTAGATCAGTAATATTTGGTTTTCTCCTAGGTTCCTGGGCTATTGTGGTGGGTCATCCCATCCCCACTTTCCCCCTGGGTACTCCTGAGCAGCAGCATCAGGAAATATTAGATAGAAATTTAGAGGGGAGAGAAACAGATATAAAACACAGGATAGCCTCAGGAGGGCCTGGACCCTAATTCGTAGAGCCCCAACTATCTTTACCAAAGGGCTTTTAAAAGAATGCCAAGGGGTGGAGCAAAAGACCTCCGCCCAGCTCAGCCAAGTGCAGACCATCTCAGACACCTGGTACTCAGGCCTGTGATCCAATCATCCTCTTATACAGACCTGCTGGGTAAAGCCACTAGGAAACCTAGGTGGACTCCAACAGGCTATCTCATCTCAGATTCAGGTATTGGTTCCATCTTAATGAGTTGCCTTAAATTTATTCAGATATTGGTTTGTTACTCCCACTAGTTTTGTGCTACCATTGTACTACTTATCTTGCAGTTAGGACACCATTGTAGACAGAAGAGTTTGTAGTATTGTGCAGAGTACATTCTAGTACCAAGAACATTAGACAACAGGGATGAAGGTTCTAGGTAGGTACCAGCTCAACTTGTCCAAGTTCAATGAATTGTGTATGTGTTGTTTTCAGTAATTGGGCTGTAGCAGGGTCCTGTGCTATTTCCTTTGTGGGAGAGGGCAAGTAGGTGCAGAGTGAATGACACACACTCTGGGAGGATGTTGAAGCAACAAGCTCAGTTATATTCAGGAAGAAGCAAACTTTATACATCCTCCACCCCACCCTGGGGCAAGGGAAAAGGTCTGATGAATATGCATCTGCTGGTGTGAGATGGCTGCCTCTCATTGGCCCAGGTCATCTCAGATCATGTCTCAGCTGCTGTTGCTCTTCCCTTAGGCAGATCCAGGTTGGCTCTCAGGAAGTATCTTATGTGCATGCTCTCAATACTGGTTTGGGCTGACTGGCCCCCAGGCCTGTCAGGGCTTAGTCATCCCACTCTGGGCCTTGCTATAAATTTGTGGAAAGCAATCTATGCAGCCTTTGCAACAGCCTGGATTGTTTTGGGGCTCTTAGGGGAAGTCTTTGGCCAACAATTCAATTATATATAACCCATTCTTTATACTGAAGCTTCCTTTGGGGATGAGACATATCCAGTTTGGTCTCTGTCTCCCTTGTTATTTGGCAATTTCATTTAGATTGCCTTCATACATGTAGATAATATAGCTTTTACTATATTAAATTACCCCTCATATAGGCCTTAATTTTATCTGTCTCTCCATATTCCCTCCCTTGTCCTCTTGATTCCTCCTTCTTCCTCCTCATTTGATTCCTCCACTGTTAATTATAGCCTAAATTTTTACAAACATGTAGATGCACATATAGTTTGGTAGGTTTTAAACTTCATCTATGCTTTCGCAAGTGGCTAAATTACAATTATGTTAATTTCTGTATATTATTCACCTGTGATTTTTTATTATTATCCATTTGCTATGGATGGATGGACATTGAAATATACATATGTGAACCTATTGTGAATGGTTTTTTGTGATATGATGCTTATTAAATAAATAATTGAGTTCCTTAGAAGTAGTAGAAACAGTGGCTGGATGGTAGGGTACAAACTTTGCCTATTTGTTAAATAATAACAAACTATATTCCATAAAAAATCTTGCAACTTTATACCCACCTATATTTATGAGTTCTATTAATAGTTCACATCCTTATCCTACATATCATCTGATTTTTCCAGCTCTCCTAGGGATGTGTATTTACTCCCCCATTAATATTTTATCATGGTCTGTGATGGTTAATCATCATTAGCAACTTGTTAATCTAGATGAATGAAGTCTAGAAGATAAGTGAAGTCCAACTTTGTGTATCTGAAGGGGTATGCCCAGAGGATTAGATAGGGTGGCTCTATTGTGGGTTCATCTCTGATGTAGTGATAATTATTAGGAAATATGATACACTATAATGGTATTATTAGGAAGTGGTGATCTGAGATCGTGTCTTGCAGGAGTAGGCAGGCCACTTAGGGTAAAATTTCAGGGTCTATGTTTTGCCCATGGCTCTTCTTTTATGCCTCACATTCTGCTACCTCTTGTTCTATGAGGTAGAGATCTTTCCCTGTGGTCCTCCTTTGTGCTCCATTCTCTGCTTCCTATCTTCCATGAGATGAACTGCTAATTTTGTTACAAGTTCCAACCAAGATGATATTCTGCCCAAATACGTTATGCCAAGTAAGCACAGAGTAAAGAAACTCTCTGAAACTATAACAAAACAATAGATTCTCCCTTTCAGCTGTTCTTAGGTATTTTGAGCATCAGGACTTTAAACACTAATGAGTGGTCACTGTGGAATTTTTAAATTCATTTTTCTATGTTGATTCCTGGGTAATTCTTAATTTTGATGCTATTTTAAATTACATTTTAAATGTCTTTTCTAGCCATTGTGAATGGCATATAAGAAAGGAATTGGTTATTATATAAAGTTTTTGTGTTGAACTCATTTGTTGAATTATCCTTTTAATTAGAAAAATATACCTCTATGTTACTTTGAATTATTATTTAGTCAATCACACTATCTACCAAAAATAATTTGTGAATTTTTATTTCTATAAAATACTTTTGTTCTTCCAGGACACTGGTGAGCAAGTATGATTAAAGTGGGAAATATTGGCCACTTTGGGTTTTAATAAAGAGTACTCACTGCTTAACTGTGAAGAATTACATTTCAATCTTCATGTGATCCTTTGGTTCAAGGGCACAGTATTCCTTCTCAGTCATTGTTGAGCTTTCATATCAAAATCATAGACAGAGTTATCTTTGAATTTTCTTTGAATGATATGATCATAAAACTTCATCCTTTGTTCAAATTATTTTCTAACATTAAATCAGATCACTGGGTCCAAGGCCCAGCTTTTTATTTTGCTATAATATGTCATGAGCAAGCTAAATAAAGCAATAAATAAATCCTGTTGGCTTTTCTCCTAAGTGTGTTTCTAGTACTTTGGATTTCCAGGATTATCATGACGACTAAAATTAATTCATGAGTAATTTTAGTTACCTTGTTCTTCAATTTGATGTCAAGGTCATAGTAGATTTTTTAAAAGAAGGATGTAAATATTCTTGCACTTCTTAGAAGACTTTAGCATTATAAATGTTTCTTCCTTGGATGTGGAATGCATTCACAAACTCATTTGGGAATGCATGTTGCAGGAACCCTTTTTGACTAATAATGAATTTTCATTAATAGCAATTGAAAAAAAAATGTGTCATAATTCGGTGCTGTTAAATATTTGGTTTAAGCATAGTTTATCAGCGTGTTCAAAGTTATGCATAAATTTATTCATAATAAACTCATCATTCAGTGTCAACAAATTCTTAACTAATGTATTTTCCCATCATTTACATTGGTTAGTTTGTTCTGTATCTTCAGATGTTCACCAATTTCGTTGCTGTTTCCAGTAGCTTAGTTATTTTACTTTGATGCTCATGTTTATTTAGTTTAACACTCTAAAGTGATTCATTATTTTTATGAAAGTGTATTTGCACAAAAGTTTGCTTGTTGGTTAGTGATATAATAAGCAGCTTTCTTTTAAATACTTTTTGAAACCATGTTTTTTTCTAATGATTTTCTTTCAACATTGGGCAATGCCAACCTCAGTGGCCTATACTGCCACCTGTGGGCATGGTGTCTAAGTGTTAACATTATTGTATGTTTTTTGACATACAGCTGTAAAAATCATTGAGTTGTAGTTTGTGCTTTTTGTCAAGTTTAACAATCTGTAAATTTTAGTAATTTTTAATTGCAGATGAAATTAATAAATGACTTAATGATTTTTAAAGTTTAAATAGTTTTTAATTCTAAAGACAGATATACGATCTTACTTTAAATTTTGTCTTCTTTGGGGCTTATTAAATAATTTGAAATTATACATTTTAATTTATTCTTTGAGAAGTTCACATTATGTATTCTGATCTCACTCCTCTCCCAGTCCCTTCATGTCTGCCCCCTCACTCTTGTTGTGCCCCCCGAGGAGAGCTAAAAAGGAATAAAAATAAGATAAAAATGAACAATAATATATAATATATATATATATATATTTTTAAAAGGAAAAACATTTCGCTTCTCCATCTTTCCCACCTCTCCATCATCTCTCCATTCATCTCAGTGGCCTGGGAGCTATCATGCAGTATTCTCAAACAGCTTTACTTACAAATGTTCATAATGTAATGAGTTTTTGATGAGGTTCAAGGCTTCTAGCTTTGATATAACATCAAAACTGAACCCCCACCATATTCTACAACATCCTGCTATTGCAAGTTAAGGAGATCCTGAGGCTACGGTTCCACAGGATCAGTCCCTTCACACAGTCCAGCAGATCACAGATAAGGTAGATGCTAGGTGTGCCAACTCAAAGCCTTGGATGTGTGCCTGGGTGGCAGCTGAGTTGTTCGGTCCAGGTCCAGGCCTCTGGGGCGGAGCCAGCTCTCGCAGGCCCATGGTGAGGGGTGGAGTGAGCTTTCTTTCCTAAGTGTGAGGGCCAGCTCTCCGGTAGGAGCAGGGACAACTTTCTCTGCTGGGGTCCAGGATCTGAGCATCTGTCTGCACTACCTTCGGTGTTTCCTGGAGCCTCTGACATCGATGGTGACCGCGATTGTGGTGGCACCACAGACCCAGACATTGGCCATCGGCAACAGTTCGACACAGAAGACACTGGCCACAGGTGGCAGCACAGGCTTCCAAGGTTGGCATGGTCCCAGTAGAGACATATCCCTTATACTCCAACACACTCCAGAGGCCAGGGGTTCTTGTGGTCTATGATAGCAAAGTGGGCCATGAACATCATCGCAGAGCTAGGATGTGGTAGAACCATGGACTCAGTCATGGTTCTCATTGGCATCCTGGGCTTCGATGTCACCACAGCCCCAGATGGCTGCACAGCCCTCTCAAACAGGCCTTGCCCCAGCTTCAAGGTAGCCTTAGGATACCAGCATTCCCCCAGGCAGTGGCATATATCTCCAGTATCTGCCCAGCCTTCCATGGTAACAGGAGCCATGGATATCAACACAGACCATGGCTGCAGCAGGGTCATGGACCGAAGCATGGCTCCAGGCTGAAGCTCAGGTTCAGGTGTTACCATGACCCCAGGTTGCTACTCAGAGTACTCAGATCTGTAAGGCCACTGTGGCCGCCAAGATAGCATCAGGTGTCAGCCCATATCCAGGGCATCTACATAGCTTTCAGTGGTAATAGGAGCCATCAACATCAACACAGACCCTAGCTGCAGCAGGGTCACAGACTTGCTGCCACCCCCCACCCCCCATGCAGCTCTTTCTGGTTGACACCATAGTCACTAGTAGCAGTGTAGGCCACCCAGATCATCACAGCCCTAGCCACGGCACATCCCTAGGATGCCACCATGTCCACAGATGGTGACTCAGAACACAGGTATCCTTGTGTCCCTTGGTGGCAACACAGGCTATGGACATCATCAGAGACCCCGGCTGCTATTGGACCACGTTTTCAGACACGGTCCTTGGAAGCAACCTGGGCCAGGATGCCTCTATGGCCCTGGGGAGGCAGAGTAGGCCACTCATATCAGCATCACCCCAGCTGCAGGTTGGCCCCAAGTGGGCACCCAGACCCTGGGCATCCACAAAACACCCGATGGCAACCATCACCATAGACACCCACACAGACCCTGAGTGGTATAGGGCGGTGAACCCAGTCATGGCCCTTGGCCACAGCTGAAGCCTAGACTACTCCATGGCCCCAGGCAGTAGCCCAGGACATTAAAATCAGGATCGTCCCTGCTGTGGTGTGGCCCTCAGGCACCTACGTGGCCACACGTGGCAGCCCGAACCCCAGGCATCCTCACAGCCCCAGTTGTAGCAGGAGTCATAGACATCAATGTAGTGATGGATTGTCTCCCCCAATATACTGTGTCTCCCAAAAAAATTTACCTGAGGATCAGAGGAAAAAGCCAGCCACTATATATTTTTTTTCCATTTTTCTTTATTAAGAAAATTTCTACTCACTCTACATACCACCCACAGATCCCACCTCCTCCCTCCTCCCATCTCCTAGCCCTCCCTCCCATGCCACCCCACATCCCCACATCCCCCAAATCAAGGTGTCCCATGGGGAACCAGCAGAGCATGGCACACTGAGCCTAGGCAGGTCCAAGCCACTTCCCACTGTACCAAGGCTAGGCAAGGCACCACACCACAGTCGCCAGATTCCCAAAAGCCTGCCCATACACCAGGGACTGATCCCAATCCCCCTGCCTGGGTGCTCCCCAAACAGTTCGAGCCAAACAACCATCTTTTGTATCTAGTCCAGTCCCGTGGGGGCTTCACAGCCACTAGTCTACAGTTCATGGGCCTCCAATAGTGCGGCCGGTCATCTGGTCATCTAGGCACTTCTTCCTGTCATGATCTCAACGTTCTCTGCCTGCAGAATCCCTCCTCTCTCTCATCGATTGGATTCCTGGAGCTCATCCTAGTGCCTGGCTGTGGATCTCTGCATCTGCCTCCATCAGTCACTGGACAAAGGCTCTATGATGATAGTTAGGTTATTCATTAGACCAGTCACCAGAGTAGACCAGTCCAGGCACCCTCTGGACCACTGCTATCAGTCCAAAGCGGTGTCATCCTTGTGGGTTCCTGAGAGCCTCCCCAGGACTCTGTCTCTTCCTTTTCCCATTATGTCCTCATCTATCATGGTGTCTTTCTCCCTGTCTTCCCACTCTGTCCCTGTTCCAGCTCGACCCTCCCATTTTCCTATGTTTTTATTCCCCACTCCTAGCCCTCTGCATCCCCCCACCCACCCAGTCCACTCACATAGATCTCATCCACTTCTTCACAGGGTCATCCATGTGTACCCCCTAGGGTCTTTCCCTGCTACCTAGCCTCTCTGGAGCTGTGGGTTGCAGTCTGGCAATCCCTTCCCTCACATCTGGTATCCACTTATGAGTGAGTACATACTGTTTGTCCTTCTGAGTCTGAGTTATCTCACTCAGGGTGATATTTTCTAGTTCCATCCATTTGACTGCAAATTTCTTGATATCACTGTTTTTTTTACTGGTGAGTAGTATTCCATTGTGTATATGTGCCACATTTTCTTTATCCATTCTTCAGTTGAGGGGCATCTAGGTTGTTTCCAGGTTCTTGCTATTATGAATAGTGCTGATATGTACATAGTTGAGCATGTGTCCTTGTGGTAAGATTGAGCATTCCTTGGGTATATGCCCAAGAGGTATGGCTGGGTCTTGAGGAAGACTTATTCGCAATTTTCTGAGAAACCGCCATACTGATTTCCAGAGTGGCTGTACAAGTTTGTATTCCCACCAACAGTGGAGGAGTGTTCCCCTTGGTTCACATGCTCTCCAACATAAGCTGTCTTCAGTGTTTTTGATCTTAGCCATTCTGACAGGTATGAGATGGTATCTCAGAGTTGTTTTGATTTGCATTTCCCTGATGACTAAGGATGTTGAGCAATTCTTTAAATGTCTTTCAGCCATTTGAGATTCTTCTGTTGAGAATTCTCTGTTAAGCTCTGTAGCCCATGTTTTTAAATTGAGTTGTTCAGTATTTTGATGTCTAATTTCATGAATTCTTTATACATTTTAGAGAAATGTCAGAAGTGGGGTTAGTGAAGATATTTTCCCATTCTGTAGACTGCTGTTTTGTTTTATTGACCATGTCCTTTGCTCTACAAAAGCTTCTCAGTTTCAGGAGGTCCCATTTATTAATTGTTGCTCTCAGTGTCTGTGCTACTGGTGTTATATTTAGGAAGTGGTTCTCCTGTGCCAATGCATTCAAGACTACTTCCTACTTTCTCTTCTATCAGATTCAGTGTAACTGGATTTATGTTGAGGTCTTTAATCCACTTGGACTTTAGTTTTGTGCATGGTGACAGATATGGATCTCTTTGCAATCTTCTGCCAGCACCATTTGTTGAAGATGCTTTCTTTTTTCCGTGGTACAGTTTTGGCTTCTTTGTCGACAATAATATATTCATAGGTGTGTGGATTAATGTCAGGGTCTTCAATTCGATTCCATTGGTTCATGTGTCAGTTTTTATGCCAGTACCAAGCTGTTTTTATTATTATAGCTCTAAAGTAGAATTTGAGGTCAGGGATCATGATGCCTCCAGAAGTTGCTTTATTATACAGGATTTTTTTTTTATTTTTTTTTTTTTTAGCTATCCTATGTTTTTTGTTTTTCCATATAAAGTTAAGTATTGTTCTTTCCAAGTCTGTGAAGAATTGTGTTGGTATTTTGATGGGGATTGCATTGAATCTGTAAATTGCTTTTGGTAAGATTGCCATTTTTACTATGTTAATTCTACCTATCCATGAGCATGGGAGATCTTTCCATTTTCTGATATCTTCTTCGATTTCTTTCTTCAGAGACTTAAAGTTTTTATCATAAGGGTCTTTCACTTGCTTAGTTAGAGTTACTCCAAGGTACTTTATATTATTTGTGGCTATTTAAGGGGTGATGTTTCTCTGATTTCTTTCTCAGTCCATTCATCATTTGTATATAGGAGGGCTACTCATTTTTTTGAGTTAATCTTGTATTCTGCCACCTTACTGAAGGAGTTTATCAGCTGTAGGAGTTCCCTGGTAGAATTTTTGGGGTCACTAATGTGTACTATCATATCGTTTGCAAATAGTGAAAGTTTGACTTCCTCCTTTCCAATTTGTATCCCCTTGATCTCCTTTTGTTATCTTATTGCTCTAGCTAGAACTTCAAGTACTATGTTGAATAAGTATGAGGAGAGTAGACAGCCTTGTCTTGTTCCTGATTTTAGTGGAATCACTTTGAGTTTCTCTCCATTTAACTTGATGTTGGCTGTTGGCTTGCTGTAAATTGCTTTTATTATGTTTGGTATGTTCCTTGTATTCCTGATCTCTCTAGAACCTTTATCATGAAGGGGTGTTGGATTTTGTTGAAGGCTTTTTCAGCATCCCATGAGATGATCATGTGGTTTTTTTCTTTCAGTTTGTTTATATGGTGTATTATATTGACTGATATTTGTATGTTGAACCATCATTGCATCCCTGGGATGAAGCCTACTTGGTCATGGTGAATAATTTTTTTGATGTGTTCCTGGATTCAGTTAGCCAGCATTTTATTGAGTATTTTTGCATCAGTGTTCATGAGGGAGACTGGTCTGTAATTCTCTTTCCTTGTTGCATCTTTGTGTGGTTTGGGTATCAGGGTGACTGTAGCCTCATAAAAGGAATTTGGTAATGTACCTTCTGTTTCTATTGTGTGGAACAATTTGAAGAGTCTTGGTATTCACTCTTCTTTGAAAGTCTGGTAGAATTCTGTGCTGAAACCATCTGGTCCTGGGTTTTTATTTTTTTATTTTTTGGTTGGGAGACTTTTAATGACTGTTTCTATTTATTGGTCTTTTTAAATAGTTTATTTGGTCTTGATTTAACTTTGGTATGTGGTACCTATCCAGAAAACCATCCATTTCTTTCCGATTTTCCAATTTTGTGGAGTACAGGTTTTTGCAGTATGACCTGCATTTGTTTTCATTGAATTCTAGAAAATCTTTAATTTCTTTCTTTATTTCTTCCTTGACCCATTGGTGAGTCAATTGGTCATTATTCAGTTTCCATGAGACTGTAGGCTTTCTGTAATTTTTGTTGTTGAAATCTGACTTTAAGCCA